TCACCCTGTCCATACAGTACAAAAAGTGAACAGAAGACAAAGAAAATTCTGAAAGAAAAGTTGTAAGGAAACAGCACATAAAGAGGAAAAGGAAACCAAAGTTAACAGCTGAAAGGACAGGGGGAAGAATGTTTCAATTTCAAACTTGAAATGCTCGAAGCTAGGACAAACCCAAAGCGCTCTCACTTGAGTATTCTTCAAGTGAGAGGTGATCTCTATAGAGCATTATTTTTAAAGGTGTTATCCAGCAAACACAGGGTGCTTCCCTTAGGTAAGTGGTGATAAGAAAAAAAGACCCCACTGTTTTCACAAGTTGCAAATCAGTAACTACTGCCATAGGAAAGGGAGCTGAGTGACAGGATGAAAAGCACTGGACCTTTTCACGGTTGTCAAAACCCAGTTATCTGCCACAAAGAATTTCAATTTCAGGCTTTGAGTTTCCTTAGAGGAAGACACTGTAGACGTTTGTGGTTATGAACTTTAAAGTGGCAACAGCCCAAACCGGTCAAGTGTCTGTAACCTGAACCACAAAAGAATTACTGTGAATCACCATTAATCTTGGATGCCAAATGGTAGGTGCCTCACTCCACATCCCAGCATCACAATAAAATCTATAACTTTCTGTACAACTTTACAACAGAATTGTGTTTTAGCGATTATTTTGATCAGATTAAATTTCCCAAAAAGTTACACATAATTCAGGTCTATTTTTCTACCAGTAAGAGTTCTGCTAAGTTACAAAACTCCATAATCACAGTGTTCAGTTTTTAAAAATTAAACACAGTAATCCTGTCAATGTTAATTGAAATCAAAACTTCAAAATGCTGTGGCATTTATGTGACCAATCTGAGTTTTAGATTGATACCAACTGTTTATCCCATGGACCACTTTTGCTAGACTGAGGCTGTGAAAAATCGAAAAGTCGATGTACGAATTTTTTTTTTCTTTTTCTTTTTATCACACAAAGGGATATATGTGGAGGGTACAGAGTGACACTGAACAGATCACAGAGCACAACAGACATTAGTTTTCTCCCTCCCCAGCATCTCCTTCATCGCCCTGGTTTTCCGACGTCCATAGAGTGAGATTGTCCCTAAGTAACTGCATGATCAGTGTGCTGTCTTTGTAAGACTCTTCATTCAGTGTATCCAATTCAGCGATGGCTTCATCAAATGCCGTTTTTGCCAGGCTGCAGGCCTTTTCAGGAGAGTTCAGAATCTCGTAGTAGAAGACTGAGAAATTAAGTGCCAGGCCAAGTCGAATTGGGTGTGTAGGCTGCATTTCTTTCTTACTAATTTCAAATGCTTCCTGGTAAGCCTGCTGGGAGTTCGACACAGTGGTTTGTTTATTATCTCCAGATGCCACCTCAGAAAGATACCTAAAATAATCTCCTTTCATTTTCAAGTAGAACACCTTACTTTCTGGTTGGGTAGCATTGGGAATAAGGTATTTGTCCAACAGCTCCAGAACGTCATTGCAGATGTCCTGCAGCTCTGCCTCGATCTTCTCCCGATATTCTTTGCCCATCTGCTGCTTCTTTTCGTTCCTCTCTGTTTTCTGCTCAATGCTGGAGATGACACGCCAGGAGGACCGACGGGCACCTACCACATTCTTGTAGGCAACAGAGAGCAGATTCCTCTCTTCATTGGAGAGTTCGTGCCCCTGTTCAGTGACCGCCTTCATGGCCGCAGCCATATCATCATAGCGCTCAGCCTGCTCAGCGAGTTTGGCTTTCTGTACCAGCTCACTTTTGTCCATGGTCATTACCGTGCGAGGGCTGCAGGGGGGCAGAGGTGCTTCCGACAAAGCTGGGCGCGGCGACCGCTTCCTTACCAAGACCACTCCTCAGGAGGCAGCTGTGGCGGCAGCGGCGGCAGCTACTCGGGCTGCGGAATCAGTGGCGGCGGCGGCGGCGCAGCTCTTGACTTTTATTCTTAACTTTTTATAAATATAAGCATTCTACTGTAACTTATGATCACATCTCCTA